TCCCATCCCCCAATTCCCCAATAAAAATCTTAAAAAAAAAAATCACTTCAAATATAGTTATACACTAACTTTGAAGTCTTGCTTTTCTACAAAAAGCCACAAAAATAGTTAAAATAACAAGATTTATGGATACACTGCAGTTAGAACCCAACTTTATTGTTACAACCAATTTTTTATTTACAGAATATAAATCTCTTCAAAAAGATACATTCCTTCATTTAATCAATGGTAAATGGCCTTACTAAACAAAAATAAAGCCTAAACATCACTTATATTTAAACAGAAATACAGTTTCATTAAAAGTTTATGAACATAGAGAAAAATGTATTTTTACTTAAGCAGTTACATGAATGAGGCTGTTTTTTAATTTTCTTCACTGGCAACCCCATTTTATCCATAGAACAAATTTTACTTAAATTAACAGTAGGAAAAATGTAAAAATTAAATTTTAAACATGAAAATATGCAACAAAAAACAGGAAGTATCTTCATTACCAGACAGATTAACAAGTTCTCAGACACTCAGATACTTTCTGAGGCATATCAAAACAACTACGTCAAAAGTTGCATTCATTTGAGAGGTATCAATACATTTTCAGTGCTGAGACTATTTGTAGCACTTACAGTATATACAAAGCAGCATTATACTACTATGGTTCACATTTGATCAACACAAATTTAAGCTTTATGCCCCAATTCCCCAATTCAACATACAACTAATGCAATGACAATTATTCATTTTGTATTTTTTTCCTTCTGAAACGGAATAAGAATATTATCATTTAAGAACATGGAATAATGTCATGTCTTCCTTCTATGATAGTAGTATATTTTAAAATTCAAATACTTTATATCATGGAAACTTCACTCAGCTGTACAAAAGCTCCTACATACAGCACAGTTAAAATTTTTCCTCTTTGCAGATTCTACCAATTTATAGTTACTTTAGTACAAATAACAGGAAACTTCAAATTAATGGACAGTAAAAATGTCAGTGTGTCATTACCTAAATTGAAGTAGCAGCACACCACGACCATGTCAAGTAAATACTCTGATCCCACCCACTGCTTTTGGGGGATCTTTTCCAGGTCGCAGGAGTGAATTTACATGGATACCATCAGGTCTCAACCTATCTTTGAAAGTTCCTTTAAGAGTGTTTAAATTTAACTAATGGAACAATTTAAATCAGTCAGCCTTTTCTTACCCTTCACTAACTAGTCCAAATACAATATGTAATGTTTTCAATTTTTATAAACTTCTTTAAGTGTTTTGTTAAAATGATTAATGACATTTATACCATTAATGGGTAAAATGTAAACAAAAATATGCCTACATTTAGGGTTCGAGTACTTTACACAAATTGTTCATAACTAGAAAAAGCTACTGGATTCATAATTAAAATATTTTATTTTATTTAACCTGCTGTCTGATAACATCAGTAGCATAGTAAGCACACAGGGAAGAAAAAGCAGATTTCAGGATAGAAACCTAACAAAAACTTTAATTTTGGATGTCTCCAACACAAAAGGTATTTTCTATAAGAACTATCATCATTTTTTCCATTCAAATAGTTGAAATCCTCTGTCCATTTCAAATTATGATCCAGAAATTTAAAAATTTAGTGTAAAAACTGTTCAGAAAAATCTGATTTATTATGTAATGTATTTTATTCATTTCAGTTTTCAAGTATTTAAGGAATGCAAATGGAAGCATTTTACAGACTAATCTTTAAAGACAGGAACAACTCATTTAAAATAACTGATATGCTATTCTGTCTAAAGACACCAAACCAAAGACATAACACTGTAATCACAGAGGTGGTAGTTAAGAAGGAAAAAAAGGCAGTTCAATAAAACTAATGTTTCTTTAAAAAAAAAAAAAAAAAGAAAAAGAAACAAAAACAAAACAGGCTGCCTTAATATGTAACTAAGTTTCCAGTCAAAGGACATTCTCAAATCTAATGAACTAAAGAAAACTAAGAACAAATCAATTTTGAAAGAGAGAGAAAGCTGCTTCACCACATACTCAGAATTCCCTTTTCCGCTGTGCATAACGATTACTCGAGTTTGCCTTTTGTGTAAAGTAAGTGCAAGTTGCTGCCAGTAACAAAACTCTGCTCCTAGCATAAAGCATTGTTAACTTCGTCTATCAACTGAATGACTGATTAATATTAAAACCTTAAGTCTATATCACTTTGGAATGCAGTATGAAATGCTTGAAGGCAATTTAAAGCAGAAACCAAACTAAAAGTATTCTCATTTATATTATGAAAGAATTAAAACTGGTACAGAAGGCTTTGTGTAATGTACAAAAGAAATATCTATATAATTATTAAAGTGGGGTTTTTTTAATTTGTAATTTAGAGTGTCTGGGGGAAATTTTTTTCTTTAAATCTGGAAACTTCAGTAACATATTTATGAAGTTAAAATAAATATTTTTAGTCCAGCAAAAACAGAAATATCAGTCATTAAAAGATTACTTATGTCTTTTCTGTCTTTTACAATCCCATAACGAACAACTTTATATTTAGAGATATGCTTAAGGTGAAGAGCTATTATTTATCATATCTCTTGTATATATAAAATTTAGATTCATATTGAGATATCTAATATTTCAAAGTTTTTTTGTAGAAAAGGGTTAAAAACCTTAAGGATGGAAAAGGATAATACTTCAGTTTGCAATCATTAAATTATATTTTTAATTTGCTTTAGCTTAGAATCATGAGTCAAAGAAAGGAGCTCTAAAAGTATATTAATCGCTTGCAGGAATCTAACCTCACAAAAACTAATGGACAACTAAAGAATGAAGAAAAGTCATATTAGGCACTGAGAGGCTAAATAAAGAAGTACTGACATTAACAAAAACTGTTAGACCCTATTTCCAGTTCCTCTTGTTATCCCACTGTGCAGCTAGATCTGTTGACTATTTCCAGTCTAAAACCAAAGAACTGGATCATTTCCTTACAGAAAAATTTCTACAAAAGGAAAAAGAATGACAAACAATACACAATCTCATATGCAAGATACAATTCACACTAATTTACAAATTTTTATTTACAGTTTTATATACATTCCAGGCAAACCTAGTTGATGAGTTTTGTGCTCATATTGATCTCAAATGATCATGTGAACAGTATGATTTACTACCACATTTGATTTCCAGAAAAGGGTGGTAGTATGGGGAGAGGGGGAAATCAAATGCTACTGGTCAGGTAAGACCTTACAAGTGTGTAAGGAACAAAGGAAGAAAAGTTTTGGAATTTTGCTTGTTAAAGCATCCAGGCCACTATGGTCTATTGACTAACAATGAGTACACATGAATGCCACTTCTCTAACAACCATTTCTATATTTACAAAGTGAGCTTACAAGTTGAGTTATTAGGTAAGGCATTCAAGTTCGTTAGCTTAACATAAAAAGGCAACAGTCATCTCTACAAGCCACAGGATAAATTTTAGAGAGATGTTTTTCCTTGAGAATCCCTTAAATGGTCAATAAAAAGGGAAGCAATTTTGAACCCTATTATTAGCCTGCAGCATGATCCCAAAAACCAATACAGAAGTGGGAGCATCACAACACCCAAAATCTAGCCAAAGAGTGGGGGAAATATCTTAAATATCTGATTTTGTTCCCAACACCCAATGCAAACTCCTAGGGCTAAAGTGAGAACCTTCATTCCCCTTTACATTTACTTCTATATGAATCTCTCTGAAATGTTTATAATAGTGTCACAGTTAGCAGCTATACACAGTCTACCAACAATGGCTCAGTGAATCTCTATTCAAAATAGTTTGAAGAATATGGAGTAAGGAAGAAAACTGATCTCTCCTCCCACAGTTCTCCAAAATACATACTGTTGCACCTTAAGAAGTTGAAAAGAAAAAAAAAAAAAAATCAAGAGTGTTACATATTCTTCATCATTCTAAGAAAATATTTCAACCACAAATGAAAGTTCCCCAAAACACAAATTTTCAAGTTCACTTTAAATTATATAAAAAAAACTATTAATTGTTTAATTGGTTCCATTCATTTAGTCAATTAGGTAAAATTCTATTGATCCTACAGTAATATGGTTTATAAAACAGAAGTGAACATTTATAACAATGGGGAAGTAGAAAACAAATCTTGGTCTAACACTGTTATAGATACAAACAGATTTTACGATTCTATTTATGTAACTAGAATTTACCATTTAAAATGGCCTTTAAGTGTTTCTATTTACTTTATTAGCTTTAAACATCTTGAGATAATCCAAGTATTTTAAAGCATTTATCTGAGAATATTAAGTCATTTGGAATAATACATCAGACTTCCCAGAAGATTTCTCAGAGGATAAATTTGTAGTTGCATATTCTGAATATGCAGATCCATTAAGCCAACTTTGTACATGGGCACTTATGTGACCAAAGTGCAAAGCTTGTCAGACTAATTTTCTAAGTAAAGACAACCATGACTTCGCAACTCCACCCAATAGTCTTCAAAACTTGAAGCCTACTTAACCCAAAGATCTAACTTCCTTCCATATGATAATTACCATCCTCACACTCCCAGATAAAATAAAAAACACAATTAAACAAAATCAAGAGAAATCAGAACAGGAGACTTTCCTACCTTGAGTATTTCTGCTTAATTCACATTTTGTTTTATCAGACTTGAAGTGTATAAGATCAATGCCTTAAATGTTCCTTATTTAATTCTTTTCACCACCTCAACTTATTTCTCTGAACCTACATGAATCAAGTAATCATTTGCTATCATCCTAAAGACACGCAGCCCAACTAAAACATGAAACCAAAATGTAAGAAATGAAGGTGGAGGGGTAAAAAGAATTCGTCGAAATGTATTTTCTTGTTCCCAAGTGTGATAAACATTTTATCCTTATTTCCAAAATTAGCAATTGTTCTACGAGCTATTTAATAAACAAATACATAAAACATCCTAAGGTATAACAAAACTTTTGGTTAGAAACAATTTGATATACTAAAATCTCAAAAACAAACTAACACGTAAATAACCACATTTAGTATATGAGAACATTATTGGATACAGATTTTGGTAACAAAATCATCATATCTATTCCAGGATTATACATTAAATAGTAATATTTATACTGCCAGACTATGTAGGGATAGGGGAATTTAATATTAAGAAATATTCCCCAAAAAGAAACTTTCCAATATTCAATTCAAAAAGATGTATAGTGAATATATAGCATAGATAGTGAATGTATTTATCCTCCTAAACAGGTATTTTTCAATGAACATCCTAAGTTATCTAGATCAGTGTCTGGCATTTCAAGAGTAAATGATCCATTTTACTTGCAGTGCATCAAGATAAAAAGGTTACACTGAACACCTAGAATGTTTACTAAAATTAACCTTACTAAAGTAAAACAAAAAAATTTTTTCTCTGGACCATTTTCATTTCTTACATTAAGACAGATGAAAGCAGTCACAGAATCATTTTACAACTGTAATAAATAATTCACATATAACATAGATTATCAAAGAAAAGATTAAACTGACATCTTTATACTTTTTTGCAGATATAACAAATTTCTAATCCACCACATACTGACAGCAGTAGGTATATTTTTTGACATCATTCAGTCTATTTAAAAAATAGATTGTGGTTGTTTAGAGGCATAATTTATAAAGCAAGATAACCAAATTAAATAACAGAATTTTAACAAGTATTGGCTTTTCTGAATTTCTTAAGAAAAGATTCACAAGCATTGTTCAGGTACTTGAGAATAATTAAATCACTTCTTTATTCAGGCATTTGTAATGCAATAACCTCAGGCTTCATTTTAAAGTATTGGTTAAAACGAACAATTGCATACCTAGTGAGAAAAGAGAATAATGACAGAATTAGTCAAAGCTGAAAAACTTAATCCTTTATTTCCACTCACCCTTCTAAGCTGATTTTATTTTTTTAAGTTTTAAGATGTTCAAAAAACACATTTTTAGTTTAGTGCACCACCTACTGGACACTTTTCTGATACTGAGCACACTTAACAGATTATACCAGCTTTCCTCTCAGACCAACTATTAAATATATGCAACCTTCATAACATTTTACTTCAAATAACTGCAATGTGCCCTATAAGTTCTAAATGTTAATGCAAAGAAAGTAGAGACTAATGTAATGCATACAGTAAAATTAAACTTACCCAAGGAAATCAAACTCAATAGTGGAGTATTTGGCTTGAATCAAAGCCCACAGTCCCCAAAAGAAATGAGAAGCCTAAAAAGGAAGGAAGATAAATCAAGAATTATAATAATGCATTTCTTTGTAAAACAAATATCAAATTGTTAATTTTTCCTTTTTCATCAATTCCATAAAAGAAACTTTCTTAATGCTTTTTTAAAATATCTAAAACACAGGTAATCTTTATGTGCACAGTTATCTAGATGGCTATAGATCATTTTGTCCACACCAAAAGAGGTTAAAAGAAATTATAGTCATTTAAAAAACAGAACCCAATTCCTATAATCTGCTTTGTGTAAGCAGCATCAGCACTGACGGATATTGGCTAAGTGTATTTCATGGTATTAATTGCTAACAGGCTCTCCTATAAAATACATTATCAAAGGACTTAGCTTCTTGACAAAAATATAAACAAAATAGAATATCCAAATCTCAAAACCAAAATATATATTTAAATATGAAGAATGTTCTAGAGGTGACAAATATCTGAAAAAAAATTTTTATTGACCCAACAATTCTGCATAACCAACCGTAACATAAAGTAACATGACTTTACTCTCATGTCAATTAAAAGTGGGTCTTAGGACTTAACAGGGAAAACATGACTCTGTAATTAGAAACTGTAGAATAATTGTGTGTGTGTGTGCGCTTTACAGGTTAAACATTATGATATTTTAAGATTCTGATAATGCTAATAAAACTGCATTTCCCAAGAAATACTCAAACTAGAAATAAAAAAATAAAAAAATTTTCATTCTAGAAAGATCTATTTAAAAAGTATGTTGCAAGCTGGCCGAGTGGCGCGATGGTTAGGAACTGGCTTGGGATGCCAGAGGACCCCGGTTCAGATCCCACATATGAGGGCCAGTGACATTGCCCTCCACAGCTAAGATGCTGAACAACAGCTCAACCTGGAGCTGGGCTGCCGTGAGTCGCCGGCGACGGCGTAGGCTGCAGCCCCTGCTGCAGTGGGTTGCCATGGGCTACCATGTGTAGCCAGCAGCCAGAGTGAGCGGCCGTCCAGAAGCCGGCGACTGATCTGCCTCACCCGGGAAGAGCGCAATGATGGTGCCAACTTGGGCCAGTGAAGCAACGTCCTCCACAACTAGACTGAAGAACAAAATGACAGCAACTTGTCTGTTCCCCTTCCCCTAATTCCCCAGCGCTGTTCCCATCCCCCCAATTCCCCAATAAAAATCTTTTAAAAAAATAAATAAATAAAAAGTATGTTGCGATAAAAATCTCTATTTAAATATACTATTGCACTCGTTTTCTGCCTCAAAAAATATTACTAGGATATTGAACTTTTCCTCAAATACAGGTTTAAAAAAGAATAAAAACTGCAGTAAAGAGTAAACAGTCACATGCACATGAAATGTTTTTTTTTAAAAAGGCTGGGCTCTAAACTGTTAAATTACTAGCTATGTGGCTTTGAGCAATTTATCTCCTCTCTACTGCTCTCTCACCTATAAAATGCAAGTGTGATATGATGCTTTATAATAACATATATTCAGTCTTCATCTACTGTTCATGGATCACAGCTCCCAAAATTCTTGGACTCTCCTAAACATAAGTGAAATGGGAGTGTCTTTTGTTATATTTGGTGTTTTGTCATAGGTTACTGAATAATTCTGAAGTCGCATAAGTAAAAGGAGTACCCTGTCATTCATAACAAGCCCCTTTCAAGTACATCTGAATTTATGATAATGAAGTCACCTCTGGAAAGCCCCTAAGGATAAAAGCTGGTTGCCAGGGGAACCAACCAAGTGATTAGAGGGTTGAAACTTTCAACCCCAGGACCTCCCAACCTTCAGGGAGAGGAGAGGGGCTGGAGACTGAGTTCAATCGTGAATGGCCAATGATTTAATTAATCTTGCCTATGTAATAAAGCTCCTAGAAACCCAAAAAGAGGGGGTTTGGAGAGCTTCCAAGTTGGAGTACACGGAGACATGCTGGGAGGGTACGTACCCCAAATTTCAGAACAGAAGTTCCTGTGTTCTAAACCTTGGCCCATGGAGCGCCTCATCTGACTTTTCTTCTGTCTCCTTTATAATGTCCTTTATAATAAACTGGTAAGCCTATGTAAATGTTTCTCTGAGTTCTGTAAGCCCCTCTAGCAAATTAACGAAACCCAAGTGAATGTGGAACTGAGAATGTGGAAGAAGCACAGGTAATAACCCAGTCTTGCAACTGGCTTCTGAAGTGGGGCGCAGCCCTGTGGGACTGAACCCGTAACCTGTGGGATTTGACACTATCTCTAGGTAGATATTGTCAGAATTGAGTTAAATTTGTAGGACACCCAGTCACTATCTGCTGAGAATTGGAAAATTGCTTGATGGTGTGGAAAAAACATACATCAGAGCAGGTATATTAGTATCTACACTGCATATAACAAATATTCAATAAAATATAACAAATATTCAATAAAATGTTACTTATTATATTAAATTAAAATGACAGATTTCAAAAATGGCCTTCTTTCTACCTAAGAAAGTGCCTTAGGTATTGAGAAGTGAATTATGAGATGAGATGCTTTTTCCTTTTGAAAGTCTAAATCAGTGGTTCTCAAAATGGTCCATAAATCCATGGAAGGTTCCTGGGATCCAAAACTATTGTTACACTTGCCTTTTTGACTATGTTAACATTTGCACTGATGGTTCAAAAACAATGGTGGGTGAAGCTACTGGAGGTACCTTAAACATAAGTCAAGGCATCAAGGCAGTGGCATCAAACTGTATTAGTATAGTATCCTATTCTTCTCATCACCACACACAGTAAAAAGCCAGTCTCACTAAAGAGTGTCTTTTATGAAGCCTTTAAAACTATCACTTTTATTCAACTGTACCCTTCAGTACATGTTATCCTAATATTCTGTGGAATGATACAGAAGTACACATAAAGCACGTCTACTACATACCCAAAGCATGAAGACTGTCTCAAGGAAAAACACACTTTATGTGACTGAGTTGTGAGCTGAACTTGCACATTTATAAATGGAATGCCATATTTTTACTTAAAAAAAACAACAAACATACAAACTGGTTATTAGACTTGGGTATTTGGCAGACATTTCTCAAATATAAAAAAGAGAACTTGTCATTTCAATGGAAAGAACTGACAATATTTGTTGCCAATGCCAAACTTCAAGTATTCAACCTAAAATACGAACTTTGTAAAATTTGTATTTGACTCTGTGTGCTTAACAGCTTACTACAGTACTTAAAACGTTTCTGATGATACTACCGTATTTGCCGGCGTATAAGACGACTGGGCGTATAAGACGACCCCCTAACATTTCCACTCAAAATACAGAGTTTGTTATATACTCGC